TCACAGAGAAAACCTTTTCACAAGGAGATCAGACATGTTCCAGACCTGAGATTGCCAGGTACAGGTCCCCAGGACCACAGGATCATCAATGCAAGGTATTTTGTGCAGGGACCTTAACACCCTCTATTCCTGTGTGTCCAGCTCATCTTGTTACAATTACATGTCTGTTAGTGCACCCATTGTACAGCTCTGCGGAGTTTGTTGGCGCTTTATAAAGAATAATAATCTATCTCAGACTATTGTTGTGGTCTCAATAAGAAAAGAGCCCATACCATGATTGACCCTTTAAATGTAGACCGTAACCCCAAGAATTGCAAATGAACATTAGCATGCCTTATCACATTCTGTAATAATTAATGAGCCATTAAGTATTCATAACACGTAGTACTGTTGAACATTTACAAAGAAATTGCACATTTTAGGCCAAAGTGGGCAATTTGGTAATTCTATCCAACCCAGGTATATTTTGGCTCAACCATTTGAGCCAAAATTTGCTAATCCATTTTCAGTTGTCCACAATTTAGTAAATAACCTCAAAAGTGTAGAAAAAACTGCCAGACCTCACTCCTTCTATAGGTAACTTAAATGGTACCTTAATGAAAACAGAATGCTCGTGGCACACTGTGCAAATCCATTTAAACTAACAATCTGTTAAATTTCAACTCCCACACACATCTAGTATAGAACGCTGCCTTTTCCTAATAGTAATCACATAAATTATCCTGCACAAACTTACTGGTGACTTGCACAGCCTCCTGTGACTGATCTATCTGTCTGTCTGTTTATTTCTAGTTAGACAGCTTCTATTTAACTGTATGTAAATAAATGATGTCATGGGTACTACTGACTACTACTGATGACTGATGTCTCAGCACAGTTCATTCAGGGATACAAGTGCTGGTGTGAATTACAACTGCTATAATGCTCAATCAAACCATGGCTGTGCTATATGGGAGTTGCAACCTTTAGTATCAGTTTTCATTTAGAAGCTGACCTTGCTTGCTAGGATGACACATATCCCCAGAGGCTGCAAGTGATGGTACATAGTAGATAACACAGAACATCCTTCCCATGAACTCTGCTTGTATGCTTCACACATTGAATTGTCATTAGCATCTACCTGCTCACTCACCTGTCTCAGGTGTCTCAGCAGCTCAGTGGCCTCATCTTGTTTCCCTTGTTTCACCAGAAGCAGCATGTCTTGAATCATCCTGATCCTCTTATGGTAAGGAGGGAGGCTTCCTGGTCCACTCTTTCCAAACTTATCCCCAGATCTCACTCCAAAAGAAGACCAGAAGTCTCCTCTCTCCCTGACTGGAGTGCTTCTCCTGGACCCTGGTGGGTGCTGAGGGCTGTCCCCCCCAACGCTGGAAGCCTGACAGACCTTGGTCTGCTTGGTACCCATGGTCAAATAATTGATCTCCCAAGTGAGGCATCCGCAATGGCTCCAAGGGTCACAAGAAAGAGGAAAGCAGAGGTATGGTGAGTGCCTTTTGTAATAGAAAATCTCTGCGTGCAACAGGTCAGTAACCCAGATGAGTAGTTACTCCACAAACTGGGGCAAGCCGAGTCAGCAAGGTATGTGGCCACTAATTAATGCAACAGGCTAAAGAGAGCAGGACTCCACCACAAGCTCTCATTAGGAAAAAGAGGAGATTTCAGGTTATTTGGAAAGGAACTGCAATTTCCCAAACACACAGGATGTCCCTCTCCCCCTCCCCTTCTCAATACACTCTGCTACTGCTGAAGAAATATAAAGCAGGATAATCTCATTCTGAGCCCAACTTTCAATACCAAACAAAGAACAAAAACAATCCTTGCAGAGGGGGGTAAGGTTGCACCCCTCATATGGAAACAATCTATAATCCAAGTTGATGGCACGCAGCTCAGCTCCAGCTGGGAGCCATCCAGGGGTCCACGCACTTGGGTGTCAGCAGAAGACCTCTCACATCACAGTGACTGGTGTGGACTCAGTGGACATGGGGAAACTGTTGCGTGTTGTCTCCAGCCTCAGGGCTCACTTTGAAGGTGGATGATGTCAGCAGGAGTAATGCCTGGATGGACAGACGGGAGGGTAGAGAAAGGGGGGGATCACAATCACATTATTTGACAGCCAAAAGTCTGAGCAGCTCAGCCAAAGATCCCCCTGCCTCCTCCCAGTCCCTCTGATGAATCCGATTAAAGTCTCAGGCACGCAGAGAGAGCTCTGGAGATTGGACAGAACTTACAGAGCAGGCGACGACCGGGGGGTTCCCTCCTCTCCCAGCCATGGATGAGGGGAGGCTGCAGCAGGTAGGGGACTTGGGGCTTTCTGTGCCTCTCGTGAATCCAGCATCGCTTCCCATAGACATAAAGAGGAGGGGCTGGCTCTCTGTTCAGTGAAGAAGGCGTTTCCTGTGTGTACAGCTGGCTACTCTGATGGATACAAGAGGTCTGCTGGGTATGTGCCAGGAAAAGCCCCTTTATAGCCTCCACTCACATCGGTCAAGGATTTGGGGAGCCCAAGAACCAGGTTGAAGTTTCAGCCTCCAGAGATGAGACCCTCCTCACACAGCACCCCTGCCAGGGCCATCCAGGAGTTAGGGAGTCAGATACAGTGTATATTACTAGTTAGAAAGGGATTGAAAGGATGGATTGTGTCTGCTGGATGCAGAAAGAGAAAGGTTATGGCTGCTTCATTGCTCAGAGCCACCTCTGTCACACAAGCACCCTGTGATGTGCCAGCCTCAATCTTCCCAGGCAAACTGTAAGTGACACCGTCTGGGGCCATCTGTACAGCAGGGGGAAGGGCTATGATGACAGAACACGGAGGAAGCTGGAGGATTCCATGCTTGAAACAAAGTTTTCATGTTACAGATAGCAACACTTCGCATGTTTACCTCCAGTAACCGAGCTGTGTGGAGCAGGATTCTCACAGGAAACACACAGCTACTATTAAGTGTATGGAATGAGGGGGGCGGTTTGATCCTTTGAGGTGGATGTATTGTACACGTTTTTAGTTTTTACATTGTATTAAAGTTCTCAATAATAAAATATGAAAATACAATAGTATATTATGTGTGATATTTTATATTAATGCGAATGTACACAATTTATCTCTCTCTCTCTCTCTCTCTCTCTCTCTCTCTCTCTCTCTCTCTCTCTCTCTCTCTCCTGTCTCTCTCCTTTAGTTAGAGATAATGGCCAGACTCGATCAAGTGACAGAACGAGCACAATCAAAATCTGAGGTGATTTCTGGTTGAATAATTTATCAGACTGGAAGAGGATGAGTTAGTGGAGGAAAAGACCCCACCAGGTTCACCTCCTCTCTCTAGGAAAGGAACTGAGACTACAGTTTTCACAAAACTAAATAAGAACAAATTAAAGGGACACCATAACATCTTTATCTTAATGAAGCAGTTTTGGTGTATAGATCATGCCCTTCAGTCTCACTGCTAAATCTCTGCCATTTAAGAATTAAGTCACTTTGTTTATACAGCCCTAGCCATGCCTCCCTGCATGTGACTTGCACAGATTTGCTTAACAATTCCTATGAAGAGAGATCTAATGTTTAAACTTTCATTATTGCACATTCTGTTTAATTTAGATTTCCCTATCTCCTGCTTTATTAAAGGGACACTGGTCTAAATGAAGACGTTATGGTGCCAGGAGGCCCCCAACACTCTTACCTTAAGGGGTTAAACCATTCTCGAATGGTTTAACCACAAAGTTTGTCTCCAGAGCTGATCTACAAATCCCCCAGAATTTGCATCTGGCTTCTGAATCTCAGTTACAAGATGTGTGGAGTGCTGCCAGGCAGGGGCGCCGCTGATTGGCTTAGAGCTGTCGTCTGACGATCTAAGCCAATCAGTAGCTTCCTATTGATAAAAAATAATTTACCTTTTTATCAGTGGGGAGCTACTGATTGGCTTAAAGCATCAGATGACAGCTCTAAGCCAATCAGCGGTGCCCCTGTCTGGCAGCACTCCACACATCCTGTAACTGAGATTAAGATGCTGGATGTCACCTGCAGGGCCAGACTTGCCCAGGAAGATACCGGGAAATTTCCCCATGGGACGGCATACCTTCGAACCAGTGTAAGGTCACCTAGGGTGCACAGGCCCGGGAGACTCAATTGCCAGATGACAGGCACAAGGTGAAGCGTGTGCCAGGGGTCCTCTTGGCACCATAACAACTTCATTTAGAAGAGTTCCTTTAATATTCTTCTAGACGCTCCCTCTTGTGTGTGATTAAAGTTCAATTTACAGAGCAGAAGATAAAAACAGCTGATTGAAATTTAAACCATTTTTTTCTGGTTGTGTGAGTTACAACCAGGGGAGGTGTGGCTAGGGCTGCATAAACAGAAACAAAAGTGATTTAACTCTTAGATGAAAGTGAATTGAGCAGTGAAACTGATATATACACCAAAACTGCTTCATTAAGCTAAAGTTGATATGCATGGCATGTCAAAGCTTGATATCAGCTGCAATGTGTAAGTTTGATCAAATATCAAAATTATGACGCGGTAGTGGGCGGGATTTATCAAGGTTAAAACAACTAAAACTGGAGCTGTTCTAGGGCAAAGTGTATAATAAGAACCAGTCACTATGGAAACCAATTTTAAGCATTTGCACTTAATATAGCAACTATTTTGCCCTTTTTGTAAACTGCATTGTATTCAAAATAATTCTGCTGGTTGTTGATGTACTGATAAGGAAAGTTTTAACTGGCATCCATGAAGCTCTTTTACACAAGTTGATCATTATTTAAAGGATCGTTCCAAGCACCATAATCACTTCACCCCCATATAAGGAGTCAAACAGTTTTATGAATGCCACTCCCCAACTTCACTACTAACCCCTGTGAGATAGTCGCTTCTAAGCAGGTACTGCTTAGTAACATGCGGCTAATCAATACCTGCAATGCATGGCTGTGCTCAGGAGAGCTAACCCAAGTACCTTATTAGGAACTTCCGGCTCTCTGGTGTTAACAGTGGGATTCAGCAATAAGGGATTCCTGTCCTAACAATTCGCATCATTATAAAATGCAATTAGTTGGATCACTATTTTGTTTTCTGGACAATACCCAGTATTTGTATCTTCTCCTACCCCCTTCATCTGAATGATGTTCAACATATCTGCATGCATTAATCCACGCTTAAGAGAGTCAAATGGAATTACAGCTAAAAGATCATTTTTTTCTCTAGGTGAGGAGCAGCACTGAAGCAGAGGTAAAAAAAAAAGTCAATTTGCAATTCTGTGCTGTGCAAAATTAAACTGTTGATTAACGATAGCTAGAGAGAGAGAGCGATACATAGATAAATTTGCAAGTTGTTGATAGAGAAAAAGAGAATTAAAAAGCTTTAACAACTGATATGACTTTATGTATATGCTCATTACAAACATGTATTTCAAACTAGAATCCTTTCAATAGCACTTTATGTGAATTGGCTAAGCACTATATGATGCTATAGATATGCATATGTATAAACAAAGAAATATTCATAGCCTTGACTTGATCTGCATTAAAATCCACATATTCACAATTTGCATGTAGGCTATTTTGACCTGATCTTGCTATTGTAGATTCATAGAATGTGCTATTTCACATTTTCTGCAATTGTATTTATTTCCACAGTATTTGGATTCACTCGATGCTGCATATAAATTATATATTGAGTTATTATGAGCAAAGGCGCCTTTCGTTCAGGGAAACAGGGGCAAATGTCAGTTAAAGAGAAACAATCTGCATGACTTGGCTTCATTTTTGAAAGCAAAAAATATAAATAAGAAAATCAAAAATAAAATATAAACAAGAATGTTAAAGCTTACTGAGATTCTTGAATTGTGTTTTTTGGCCAGAGCATTTGTACATACCAAATTCACAATTATAGACACATCAGATAGAGAAATAGCCTACACAAACAAAAATAAAACAGATAAGGTAGCATTTGTTGCCACACACACACTGCCTGGACAGAATGCGTTTTTAGCCCATTTGTCCCAAGAAGGCCCAATGCATTCATTCAGAGGTGAATTCTATATTTTGCAAAGCCCCCACTGATACCCAGCTGTGTGGCTACATCCACTGACGTCTGTTGTGACGACTAACCTGAGGTAGTGACAAGCTGTCTGCAGGGGATCCCAATTGTGGTGTTGGTGGAGGAGATCGGGCCACTGGAGAGCTACGAATCCAGAGGACTGTGGGAAAATTAAAGCAATCTCCTCCATCAGGTGCAGATTACTCAGCGGTCCCCCAGCTTCCTGTGATTCAGGAAGTATCATGATTCTTTAAAGTAGTGATGGTGAATGTTTCTGAGGCCGAGTCCCCAAACTGCAAATGTATTTATTTATCTACACATGTTAACACTGCAAAAAGAGCATGAAAAAAGGAGATTTATTTATAAAAACAAAAACACAAAATAAAATTCAAACAATATCTGGAAACATAGGCGTGCGCAGCCTATTGCATTAGGGTGTGCACCCTAAAGCACAAACACACGCCGCGCGTGTGTGTGTATATATATATATATATATACACACACACACTCTCACAGACACACACACACTCACAGACACACACACTCACAGACACACACACACACTCACAGACACTCATACACTCACACACACACACTCACAGACACACACTCACACACTGACACACACACTCACAGACACACACACTCACACTGACACATACTCACACACTGACACATACTCACAGACACACACTCACACTGACACATACACACTCACAGAAACACACACTGACACATACTCACACACTCACAGAAACACACTCACACTGACATACTCACACACTCACAGACACACACTCACACTGACACATACTCACACACTCACAGACACACTGACACACACACACACAAATTATTATATTTTAATTTAAAAAAAAAATGTCCACCCAGCCTCCTACCTGGAGTGCTGGTGGACTTTTCCCTGGGGTCCAGTGGGGGCGGGCGCCTTTCCGCAGTTCAGCCGCGGCGAGGGAGCTCTCTGCTGTCTGCTCCCTCTCGCCGCGCGGGCTGTCTGCTGCAGCTGGGAGCCGGAATATGACGTCATATTCCGGCTCCCGGCATCAGCGCGCGGCGAGAGGGAGCAGACAGCAGAGAGCTCCCTCGCCGCGGCTGAACTGCAGGGTGGGTGGAATCATCACCTCTTGCCCTCCCATGACAGGGGCAAGAGGTGAAACAGGGGGCACTGAGTGCCTGCAGGAACGCTGTTCCTGCAGGACTCAAACCATAGGCGTGCCACGGGGATTAGGGTGTGCCCAGGCACACCCGGCACACCCCGTGCGCACGCCTATGTCTGGAAATATATAATGGTTTCTTCAAAACCACACTCTACACACATAAAGCGTGTATTAAAGGACCACTATAGGCACCCAGACCACTTCAGCTTAATGAAGTGGTCTGGGTGCCAGGTCCAGCTAGGGTTAACCCTTTTTTATAAACATAGCAGTTTCAGAGAAACTGCTATGTTTATAAATGGGTTAATCCAGCCTCTAGTGGCTGTCTCATTGATAGCCGCTAGAGGCGCTTGCGTGCTTCTCACTGTGAAAATCACAGTGAGAAGACGCCAGCGTCCATAGAAAAGCGTTGTGAATGCTTTCCTATGGCCTGGCAGAATGCGCGTGCGGCTCTTGCCGCGCATGCGCATTAAGCCGAAGAGGAGGAGAAGAGGAGGAGGAGAGCTCTCCGCCCGGCGCTGGAGAAAGAGGTAAGTTTAACCCCTTCCTCTCCCCAGAGACCGGCGGGAGGGGGTCCCTGAGGGTAGGGGCACCCTCAGGGCACTATAGTGCTAGGAAAATGAGTATGTTTTCCTGGCACTATAGTGGTCCTTTAAGAGTCTGTTATTTTCTTGACAGTTTATAAAAGTGTCACTCTTCAGTCCTCATGTGTTTATTTTTCTTATGCACTTGTTACCAGGGATATTAAAATGATAGGACATATTTTTACTTATTATTATTATGTTATTTATATAGCGCCATCAAATTCCGCAGTGCTTTACAATGGGTGGACGAACAGACATGTAGTTGTAACCAGACATGTTGGACACACAGGGACAGAGGGGTTGAGGGCCCTGCTCAATGAGCTTACATGCTAGAGAGAGTGGGGTAAAATGACACAAAAAGGTAAGGATAGTATTAGTCTAGGTTTGCCACTATTATAGTAACACCCAATCAGGGCCGGACTGGCCCACCTGGATACCGGGAAATTTCCCGGTGGGCCGTCGGCACCTGGGGCCGGGCAGACAGCTGTCTGTGCTGGCGGCCGAAGTGGAACCTCGAGCTTTGCTGGCGGCCGCAAGGGGAGCTGGCTGTTCTGTCTCTGCTCCCCCTCCCAAGCGCGCAGCTTAATGAGACCGTGGCCGGAATGTACAGTACAGACAGCTGCCTGTGCACAGGTAGCACTAGCAATTATGTGTTTCTGTCATGGTGTGTGTGTGTGTGTGTGTCTGTGTCATGGTGTGTGTGTCTGTGTCATCGTGTGTGTGTGTGTGTGTCATGTAATGTCTGTGTCATGTAATGTGTGTGTCTCATGGTGTGTGTGTGTCAAGGTGTGTGTGTGTCTGTCAAGGTATGTGTGTCTGTGTCAAGGTGTGTGTGCGTGTATGTCTGTCAAGGTATGTGTGTCTGTGTCATTGTGTGTGTCATGGTGTGTGTGTCAAGGTGTGTGTGTGTCTGTCAAGGTATGTGTGTCTGTCTCATGGTGTGCGTGTGTGTGTGTGTGTCTGTCATGGTATGTGTGTTTGTCATGGTGTGTGTCTGTCATGGTGTATGTGGGTGTCTGTGTGTGTTTTAAAAATAGTGTTTTTACTCACTTTTTTTTTTCTTACGCTGTGCTGGTCTCCCCTCGACTGGCCCTGCCTCTATGGCTATGATCATCAAGCTTGATGATCTCAGCCAAACCAATGCTTTGCCATAGGATTGGCTGCAAAACGTTACACCAATCAGCATCTCCTCATAGAGATGCATTGAATCAATGCAGAATGTTCAGCGCCTCCAGAGCATGGAAGCCCTGAATGTAGGTGCTGCACACTGTGCTGCACTGACACAGGAAGCACCTCTAGTGACCGTCTGAGTGTCTGTCACTAGAGGTGTCACTAGGAAGCAATGTAAACACTGCCTTTTCTCTGAAAAGTCAGTGTTTTAATTGAAAAGCCTGCAGGGACAGGTTATAAACACCAGAACCACTACATATAGCTGTGTGTGTGTGCCTGCTAGTGAATGAGCTTGCTTGCATGTGTGTGTGTGTGTGTCTCTGCTAGTGAGTGACCTTGTATTTTTATGTCAATGAGCTTGTGTGTGTCAGTGAGATTGTCTGTGTCTGCATGTGAGTATGCTTACTGTATAAGTAAACATTTTACTCTGAAAGGACCAATATTTTATATTAGAAAAAGCAATATATATTTGATATATATATATATATATATATATATATTACTCAATTATCTGGGGTGGCAAGACATAGCCTTGCATATTAAATGCGACAATATGTGGCGCAATGACTTATGGGGCTGGCATAGATTTTTTTTGTGAGCCCCATGCTTTGCATTACAGAAAGTGAAACCCACTTCAAAAGGCTTCATTACGCCTCAATTTTGCTGTATTTCTTTCCCTCAAAATTCCATTTGCTGTCTACCGTTAAATCTAAAGGGGTATCATTTTTTTCCATAGATATATTGCATTTATATAAACACAAAAAGGTGATATATTATTCTTCTTGGTTTCATCTTCATATACACACTCTAGTTACTGTTTACTTTCCCAATGACAATCAATTGACAGAAGTTAAACAGTTATGATTTGCATAATAAAAAGACAAAGCAGACAAAGCAAAGACCCCCTCTACACTATTGGTGCTCCAAACCAAGCATTCTGGTGTACATCCACAGAATATATAAAACATAAACTGGCAGACAACCCGATATGACAATAAAGGATACATTTGTTGTGGAAAACACCAGTTGTCTGACATTTTGGCTATATGAGCCTTAATCATGCTTAACATAAACCTCTACTAAGTACACAAAAATAGATAAAAGGCCATAAATGTCCGGTCAAGTGACGTTTTCTCACAATTAACAATAGTGCAAAATATACAAACTTTCTGGATTATGTACTCATGGGGCCATGAACAGTAAATGTACATAATTAGAAAATCTAAGTATTGATCAGTTAGTGTACCAATACATTACTACTGTGGATTGACACACTGGGCATTCTTTTGGAAAATACAAGAGGAGAGAAGTTGTAAAAACTAT